ACAGAACTTCCAGAGTGTGGGACTCTCCAACTTCGCTTTTAACTCCCAAGTGACCTTGACTCATGATTCCTATATTTACATCACAGCTGTAGCCCAGAATTCAGCTGGTTTGCGGGGAATTTCTTATTCAGATAAAGTTCTGGTAGACCTTACCCCTCCAAAAATAGAAGAAGTCCTGGATGGTGATTTATTAGGTATATATTAGACTACAGAAGAAAAACAGTTACCATATTCAAATTATGGAACCACCTGAACTGAAGGCTCTATTCTGATCAAATTTGTCTGTTGTTGTCTTTCTTGTTCTTGTCATAAACTTTCCACATTTTCATCTTCTTCTCCAGAAAAAACTACCAATTTCAACCAAACTGAATGCAGGTTATCTTTGTATAAAGGGGATTTAGGTTTGTTCGTATGAAGGGCCACACCCTCTTTAAAGGGGAATTAATCAAGAAATAAATTGGATTGGGTAATTTAAAACTCTTCTCCGCAAGAACCACTGGGCCATAAAAGATGAATCTGCTTGCTGGTGTATATTCAAATTTGTTAAAGTCATGACCCCTGAGGGTGAGGGTAGAATGGAGCCAAACAAGGTTTTTATTAGCTCTACTGGTCAGAGACCAGAAGAGCTTATGCGATAGTAATGCGTCCGGCGTCCGTCCGTCTGTCCGTCTGTCTGTCTGTCTGTCTGTCTGTCTGTCTGTAAACAATTTTTCAAAATGCTACTCCTCCTACAGTTTTGATCTGATTTCAATATTACTTGGCATATAAGTAGACTACACTAAGATACATAATTCTGTGTATCGGTTTTTGATTTCCACGAACGGTGTTGGCGTTGTTACTAAAAATAGAAATTTCTGTGAAATTCTTTCAAAATGCTACTCCTCCTACAGTTTAGGTCTGATTTCAATATAACTTAGCAAACAAGTAAACTACACTAAGATACATAATTCTGTGTATCGGTTTTTGATTTCAACGAACGGTGTTGGCGTTGTTACTAAAAATAGAAATTTCTATGAAATTCTTTCAAAATGCTACTCCTCCTACAGTTTTGGTTTGATTTCAATATAACTTGGCACACAAGTAGACTACACTAAGTTACATAATTCTGTGTATCGGTTTTTGATTTCGACGAACGGTGTTGGCGTTGTTACTAAAAATAGAAATTTCTGTAAAATTCTTTCAAAATGCTACTCCTCCTACAGTTTTGGTCTGAATGCAATATAACTTGGCACACAAGTAAACTACACTAAGATACATTATTCTGTGTATCGGATTTTGATTTCGACGAACGATGTTGGCGTTGTTACTAAAAATAGAAATTTCTGTGAAATTCTTTCAAAATGCTACTCCTCCTACAGTTTTGGTCTGATTTCAATATAACTTGGCATACAAGTAGACTACACTAAGGTACATAATTCTTTTTATCAGTTTTTGACTTCAATGAACATTTTTACCTTGGTTAATAAAGATAGCAATTTCTGTTACTCTCAAAATGCTACTTCAAATACAGTTTTAGTCTGATTATAATATAATGTGGCATGCAAGTAGATTACACTAAGAACATAAAGAAACTAATTCAAGGATCATTATTCTCTTTTTTGCTAGTGTAAGTTTCAATTCCCAACTGCTTAAGTACTTTCCTCTTCCTTTGCTATAAGTACAAACCAGGAGACTTCTGGTTAATTTCGATGAACGGTGTTGCCTTGGTTACTAAAAATAGAAATTTCTGTGAAATTCTTTCAAAATGCTACTCCTTCTACAGTTTTAGTCTGATTTCAATATAAATTGGCACACAAGTAGACTACAATAAGATACATAATTCTGTGTAACAGTTTTTGATTTCGATGAACGGTGTTCCTTGGTTACTAAAAATAGAAATTTCTTTGAAATTCTTTCAAAATGCTACTCCTTCTACAGTTTTAGTCTGATTTCAATATAACTTGGCACACAAGTAGACTACAATAAGATACATAATTCTGTGTATCGGTTTTTGATTTCGATGAACAGTGTTGCCATGGTTACTAAAAATAGAAATTTCTGTGAAATTCTTTCAAAATGCTACTCCAAATACAATTTTAGTCTGATTATAATATAAATGTGGAATGCAAGTAGACTGCACTAAGAACATAAAGAGACTTAAGGTAGATCGCGGGTTTGCTGACGTCACAATAGGATTCGACGTAAAAGATTACTACGTTTACAGTATCAAACTACAAACAAGCAAAAACTATTTCCATCAGTATGCGTTATAAAATAAAACAAACATAAAAGCTTCTTTTGTCTGTAAAAATATTTATTTATGTGTAATAAGAAATTAAGGATTAATCAATAATTTTGTTCTCATATATATTTGAAGATTTGTTTTAACTTTTCAGCACTGCTTGAGTTAATCAAGAAAACAAATAACATGACTCTGTATTTCGATCATTGAAAAAAAGTGTGACAATTTCTAATAGGTAAATTATGACAATGTTTACATAAACATTTATTATCAATCAATTAAAAATTGAAAATACGGATAAAACATGTTTTATTTTCAGTGAATTGTTAATTACATTGTGATTTTGAGACGTATGAAAATAGTGACGTCGCACTAACGTTATATAATGTCTTAATGAAATTATATACGTTTGTTACCAATTTGTAAAACTTTAAAGTTTTTTTGCGAGAAAATGAGCGAGAACACATATTAATTTTTTTTAATAGATCGATTCTAAATTTATCTCGCATTCATTTTGTTGAGTAATATTAAATTCGTCTGTGCCGTTTTCATATTATGAGCATGGTTTTGAAATGCGTTTACTGACGAGAAAGGCGCATTTACTATATATATTTCATTGTAATAGCGTCACCTGTTCTCATCAACATTAGTGCCTTTGAAATACAATAACAATATAACCTCGCAGACGAATCTCAAACAAATTTCAGAAAGTAAAATTTGAAACGAGAGGATTATGCTGACAGATTTTCAGAGTATGTTTTCAGGCAGACAGTAAACCTGCGATCTACCTTAATCAAGGATCATTATTCTATTTATTGCTGTTGAAAAGTTTCAATTTTCAACTGCTTAAGTACTTTTCTCTTCCTTTGCTATAAGTACAAACCAGTAGAGCTTCAGTCTCGACAGAGACTTCTGGTTAAGAATATACATGTATAGTGAAAATCTTTTAAAGTCTTCATCTTTTATAGAACAGAAAAGCCATGGTTAATCATTTTTATATGGAGGCATTCTCAGTTTAAGTTTAATCAGATCATGATATCTCTGTGTAGGATGGGACTTTGGGTAAAGCAGGAATCCACAATGTATTAACTTAATTTTATTTAGGAATATTTAAGGGGAAAATCTGCTAATAAACAACAGAAGAGTTAAAGTTACTCAGGTAAGCAGTGTGGGACAAGGGCTTCTTGATTTGGTATCTTGTCACCTGTACAATGTTCATTATTATTATTTATTATGAGAAAAAAGTTAGCAGTGGAGAATGGATTTATTTGATTGCAGGAGAAGACCTTGATGCTTGGAAGGAGAACACAGTGTATGTCAACTGGAAAGTTACTGATGATGAATCTGGTCTGGACTACTGTGAATGGGCTATAGGTAATGATAGAGCAGAGGGAAAGAAAATTGAGCATTGCTTTAAATACAGAAAACCCCAAAAAGGGCAAAAATTTCCCCAAGAAAGTAAATGTGGTTAGACATGTATACTGAGATTATGTAGGATTTATTTATGAAAATGTACAGACAAATTAAAAGCAGAAACAGATGGATTCAAAGATTTTGAACAAAAAAGTGTTTGAATTTAAAATATTACTCATTGTTTTTTTCCCATAGGATATCAACCAAAGGGCATTGAAGTACAAAGCTTTGAGAAAATTAAGATTGATGATAGAAAATCTTATAAGGATTTTGATCCAAGTGTACTTCAGGGGAAGACTGTATACTCTACAATACAATGTCAGAACAAGGCAGGACTACTGTTCAGTTTATCCTCAGACGGAGTGACCATTTTTGACCAGCCCCCATCCATGGCTTCCGCTGTGATACAGACACGGCCATTGTCAGTGACAGAGTACCCAGCTATGGATTATTATCAGAGTGTCGACAATAATCTGAGGATTGTATGGAGTGGAGTGCTAGACAAGATTGGAGTACAACAGTACAAGGTATGTGTCTTAAGATAACAATCAGTACAGGTTCAAATGTAGAATGCACATAAGTTAATAAGTTTACTTCCCACTATTATTCCGTCTTGTGTTTTAGGACAGAGATCTGCATAATGGTCATATGTGTATCTTTGCATAGTACATGCTTTTTTAGGTCACCTGAGTAAACTCAGGTGACCTATTGCTATCCGTTTTCGTCTGTCGTCGTTCGTAAACTTTTGAACATTTTCAGCTTCTCCTCTGGAACCACTGAACCAATTTCAACCAAATTTGGCACAAAGCATCTATGGGTAATGGGGAACAAAAATTGTGAATTTCATGATCCCTTCCCCCCTGGGGCCTGAGGGGTGGGGCCAAAACCACTAAAATTAATGCAATCTTTAAAAATCTTCTTCTTTACTCCGGGACATCAAGCAGTCAAACTGTTTGCATGATTGTAATCAGCATTGAGTCCTCTACCAAAATTGTGAAATTCATGGCCCTGGGGTCAGGGGTTCTAGTGCTAGGGCAGGGCTAAATAAGTATATAGTGAAAATGCATTATTTCTTTGAAAATCTTCTTCTCTGCTCCTGGGTATTAAATAAACCAACTAAGTAGATAGTTATGATGAGCAAGAGTGCCTCTACCAAAATTGTGAATTTTATGACCCAGGGTCAGGAGTTCTGGTGTTAGGGCGGGGCTCTATTGATTATATGTATACAGTGAAAATACATGATTTCTTTGAAAATCTTCTTCTCTGCCCCTGGGTATTAAATAAACTAACTAAGTGCATAGTTATGATGAGCAAGAGTGCCTCTATCAAAATTGTGAATTTTATGGCCTCAGGATTAAGGGTTCTGGTGTTGGGGGGGGGGGGGGGGGGGCTCTATAGATCATATAGTAAAAATACATGAATTCTTTGAAAATCTTCTTCTCTGCTCCTAGGTATTAAATAAACTAACTAAGTGCATAGTTATGACGAGCATGAGTGCCTCTACCAAAATTGTGAATTTTATGGCCCCAGGGTCAAGAGTTCTGGTGTTAGGGGGGGGGCTCTATTGATTATATAGTGTGAATACACGAATTCTTTGAAAATCTTCTTCTATGCTCCTAGGTATTAAAAAACTAACTAAGTGCATAGTTAAGATGAGCAAGAGTGCTTTTACCAATATTGTGAATTTTATGGTCCCAGGGTCAGGGGTTCTGGTGTTAGGGCGGGGCTCTATAGATTTTATAGTAAAAATACATGAAATTTTGAAAATCTTCTTCTCTGCTCCTAGGTATTAAATAAACTAACTAAGTGCATAGTTATTATGAGCAAGAGTGCTTTTACCAAAATTGAGAATTTTATGGTCCCAGGGTCAGGGGTTCTGGTGTTGGGGGGGGGGGTGCTCTATTGATTATATAGTGCAAATACATTAAATCTTTGAAAATTTTCTTCTCTGTCTCTGGGTATGAAGCAGATGAACTACCTATATAGTTATGATGAGGAAGGGCCCTAATCTTGCAGAATTGTGAATTTCAAGGCCCCAGGGTCAGGGGTGGGGGTGGGGCTCTACTTATATACTGAAAATGAATTAATTGTTTGAAATCTGCTACTTTGTATTTATAAAACATTTATTTATTTTTTGATAGGCAATTTTAAGGGTGCCTTTTTAAAATTTGTGCAATGTGTGGACCTAGGGTCAGGGGTTTATTTCACAGTGTTAGGGGCACTGCTGATTATTGCTGAATATTACTGATTAGTTGGAATGCATTTTTGTTCCCCTACCTTGCGTATGGGTATTCAGTACCCCTGCAAGGTGATCATGAATAATTCATGAATTTCCTTGAATTTTTCATGAATTTTATTCATGAAATGTTCATGAAACGTTCATGAAGATCCTATGAACTTCTTATCGGACATTTTCAAATCAAATTATAAACCAAGCTAAGCAACTGCTAAGTGTATTGTTATGATGATCAATGGTTCCTCTTTCAAAATTGTGAATGCCATATAGCATCTGGCTTAAAACGTGAATCAAATTCAATAACTGGAAAGTTGTTGCAGAATGCTCAGGTGACCTATAAGGCCGGTGGGCCTCTTGTTTTTAAATGAAAGCTGTCTTATTTTTTTAAATTTGAAAAAAAAATGTGGGCCATTCCTATTACAATTAATTTAACTGGACATGAAATACTACATGTAATTCAAACATTCTTGAGAACAAGTAAAGTGGTATGCATGGACCAGTCAGTGATAAAGAAATGAAGCTCAAACAACCATGAATTTCTGACAATGCTCCTCTGGTTATTTATCTAAACCTAGATATTTTCAACAAAGGCAATTAAAGACCACGTAAGAGAAGGAGGAAAGTATTGCCAGGTTAACTTGTGAGGGTATATAGAAGATAAAAGTAACTAAAATGTTAAATATTCTCATTTTAGATATCTGTGAACAGCAACAAGTACAATCTGGATGGTATGGGGCTTACATTTTCTGATGCTCAAGATGTGCTCTTTACCAGCGTCAGCAATGTTGACCTTGGTCAAGGACAAACAAATGTTACTCTTCAGGCTATAAACAAACTCCTGGAGCGCAGCGTCCCTCTACATTATAACCTGACTGTGGTCACGGACAAGCCCATCAAACATGGTAAGTGTTAAAGTCTCCTCCATATTTATTGAGGCTTTATAATCCTATTCACCCAATGTGCAAAGGGGGTGAAATTTCATTGTGATTTATTTATATAAATTCCCTCCAAGATGAGTGAGAATGAGTAAATTAGGGAATAACTATCTTGTAATTTGGTATTTGCGACCATTAATGCTGATTTAATGGTTGCAAACTGAGTTTTACAGGCGACACATAAGCGGAACTGGTAAAACGGATTAGAAGATCAGTTATTCCCATTCTAATGCATTCCATGCATTTTGTTTGTTGTTTACTTATGTTGTTGAGTTTCGTGATATAAAATACATAACGGCACTAGAATGCATTTTCAATTACCCTCTTTGGGCTTGTCAAAATGTGTCTGATCCATAATTCTAAATCTCAATACATGAAAGGTCCATAAATATTGTTTATGACGTACTGTAGGGTGCGTTTGCTCTTGACTTATCTTTTGCGCAAATTTAATATACCTTCTTACCCATCTTGAAAAATATAGGTCAGAGTGTATCAAAAACAAAAATATTTTAATGATGGCCTCAGGAATAAAAAGTTTGTTGTTCATTTGAAAAAAAATTAATTCAGATTTGATTACTTTTCCTTTTCCTAAGCATTTTTATTTCTGTGTATATGAATCTGCTTACCACAAAAAAAATGAAAATTAGCAAAATAAGCAAAAGCACTAGAAAAACATTCCCTTTCTTTATAGCTTCCAAACAACTCTCATTAAGCTGGCACGATGGAAACAAAGAATTTATTGTATCATGGGATGGGATATTTACCTCCGATCATCCGCTGAGGTTTGAAGTATCAGCTGGAACTGCTCTGGGTGGGGGTAACGTCATACAGTGGCAGGAGACCCGTGCCAAAAGTATTACATTTGGACTTCCTGACTCGGTGACCGGTACCTCCGGACTCAAGGTCTACATGATTGTGCGTGCCATAGCTGCTGGTGGGGACTACACTGATATACTAGGAACCATCAACTTACCTGCCTAATTAAGGCACAATTCAGATTCAACATTCTTTTTTGAAAGTTTTGAAAAATTTATCAGAAATTACATTATTATAATCTGTACAAGGTATACAAGATATCACATTTATTTTTTATCCCTTTTTTTTGGTTACATATTTCTTATATGTTATTTTTTTATGCCCCCTTAGTTGAAAATTCAGGGGTATGTAGTTTTTTTACTGCCCGTCCGTCCATCTACATGTATCTAGCTGATGAGCATGAATTAAGTCAAAATATCAAACATTACTTAACAAATAGTGTCCATTTTAACTACACATAGACCACATAAATGATGCAATTCTCCATGCATTTATTTTTAGGTCACCTGAGTAAACTCAGGTGACCTATTGCCATCTGTTTTCGTCCGTCGTCGTGCGTCGTGCGTTGTGCGTTAACATTTGAACATTTTCAGCTTCTTCTCTGCAACCACTGAACCAGTTTGAACCAAATTTAGCACAAAGCATCTATGGGTGAAGGGGAACAAAAATTGTGAATTTCATGATCCCTGCCCCCCTGGGGCCTGAGGGGTGTGGCCAAAACCACTAAAATTAGTGCAATCTTTGAAAATCTTCTTCTTTACTCCTGGACATCAAGCAGTCAAACTGTTTGCATGATAGTAATTAGCATTGAGTCCTTTACCAAAATTGTGAAATTCATGGCCCCTGGGCTCAGAGTTCAGGCTCAAGGGTGGGGTCAAGGTTGGCTGTTTGAATGTTGAAAATGCATAATTTATTATATCTTTTCCTTCAAACTCTCAAATTTCAAGAAGGGTAAATGTTTTATGATTATATTTAACAATGAGTTCTCCACTAAAATTGTGAAATCTATGGCCCCTTAAGGTTCAGGGTTTGATCTTGTCCCAGGGTCGGACTAATTGAAATGTAACTTTGTAAATAACTTTGTAATAAATGAAAATGTAATTAAAAAATTGAAATAATTTTTCTGTATTTTGATGTGAAAGCAGTAAAATGTTGGCATGAATTGCCTTCAACACTGTGGAATGTATGACTCCTCGGTTTTGGGTTCAGGCCCCAGGGCAGGGCTACATGTAAGTCAAAATATGCACTGTTTTGGATTTTTAAGGAGCATTTTCGTCACAATGTAAAATAAAATTATATTTAACAAATGTTTATGTGATGTTTTATGTTTTTAAACAATATCTTTTATTCATTCACGGAAGGAAGAAAACAATTGTAATTTTTTATTGCGACAGTTTGGCCTAATCAACCCGGTGTTTAGGCCTACCATTAGAAGAGTGTTGGTAAAATGGGTAGGCGAACCCGAACAGGAGCAAATAGAATAACTGGGTCTGGCAGTGATTTTTACATAATTACATAATTTTTCTCTTAATACTTTGTCAACATGGAAATCAGATTTTGTTTCTTATAGGTTTATTTGTATTTGTTACAGATAAAATTTGGAAATTGAAAAATTGCGGTCAGCCCCGGTTTTTAATTTTACCCCGGCCCGGGTTTGCCAACCCATTTTACCAACACTCCACGAACTTCCACGCATGCGTATAAGCGATCGTCTGGAGGAAGCTTCGAAGAATTGTTTGATTGTCCTGAACATTTACAAAATTTACGTTTTTTACAGGTCTAGGTTTAGCATTACGAACGGTGGGTTTGAGTGTTACGGTTTTTAAGGTTACATAGTATGGAATATTACGTGCTTTTTCGAATACATCGCATTTTTTTGTTATCCATTATATTCGTTTTAGCTTTGTTATGCATTATGACGGAGAAGCTGCAGCACCAAAGGAAACGTTCGTTCGAACGGTGTTGAATTTGCATTTTATGTCGAGTAATAAATCATGTGCATAGATGTTAAATATTATTTGTTATTTGTACGTATTTTGTATTAAATATAGATTGTTAAGGTTAAATCTTTAATTCAATATTGTTCCAAGATTTTTTATTGGCAACGGTAAGTTTCGCCCCCATTGACGATTCGTACAGAGATTTCATAAGTAAATGGTTCATTGTTATATTTGTGTGTATAATCATAATTTACATATTAAGTATTAGATGGAATGTTCTATCGTTTACCAGGTCCTACAAGGGTTTGTCACCAGACATCGGAAGATTATTTTAAATAGTTTAGTTGTTTTGATTAAACTACTCGAAAAAGATGTTTGTTATATTTTCAGTTTATTCTTGAAGTTTGTATTTATCAATTCATTTATTCCGGCATTATCCTGTTATTAGCATCGCGGTGCTAATAATTTTTGACGTTGTTGACGTTATTGACGTTAACAAATTATAACTGTTCGAGCTTAAAATTAAATAAAAAAATCTTTAAACAACAATATTAATGCTTATTCCGTTAATTCCTACTCCCTACAATATCTACCATCGGCTCCATACATAATACGAACAGAGGAACGAAAGACAACTCTACATGGGAATCGGTTACTTCCGTGATATTTTAAGAAATTACCTCATTCTCAATGGCAACTGAACTATGGTAATAAAAATAATGCATTAAATAAGGAAATCTTTAAACAACAATATTAATGCTTATTCCGTTAATTCCTACTCTCTACAATATCTACCATCAGCTCCATACATAATACAACGGGATAAATAGGATTCTGAAATATGCACTTTATTCCGTTATGAATAATTTTAGATAAATATATAACGGACTAAATGTCTTCATATAACTATCTAATTTCAAAATATATAATTTATTCCGTTATAAATAAATTTCTATAACGGAATAAATGTCTTCATAACTGAACTATGGTAATAAAAATAATGCATTAAATAAGGAAATCTTTAAACAACAATATTAATGCTTATTCCGTTAATTCCTACTCTCTACAATATCTACCATCAGCTCCATACATAATACAACGGGATAAATAGGATTCTGAAATATGCACTTTATTCCGTTATGAATAATTTTAGATAAATATATAACGGACTAAATGTCTTCATATAACTATCTAATTTCAAAATATATAATTTATTCCGTTATAAATAAATTTCTATAACGGAATAAATGTCTTCATAAAAAAAAGGAAAATTAAAAAAATTCAATACATGCACTTTATTCCGTTATCTAATTTGCGATAAATGTATATAGGAAATGTCTTAATGACAAAAAATGTAGAAATTCAATATATACACTTTATTCCGTTATAAATCTGCCGAGATAAATGTATCACGGAATAAATGTCTATAAACCCAATTATCAAAATTCAGCATACACTTTATTCCGTTTTCATTTTTTCTGTGGTAAGGTTACTTTTAACGGAATATATGAATCGGATATCTTTTTTATTTCAATGTACAGTGTATACAAGAATAGGTTAGGAAGTAAAGTCTTTTGTTTATAAGTTGCGTGACAGTGTAAAGAAATCCTACACCTTTATACAAACCTTATGCAGACGTTGAATATTGAATGATCTACCTTTGAGGATCTTATAATCTTGATATTTGGAAACGCCGTCTCTCTATATATACTCCTGTTATTAGCATCGCGGTGCGAATTAGTTTTCAGGTATTTAAATGTCCCTCGTCTCTCTAGTATATATACTCCTGTTATTGGCATCGCGATGCTAATTAGTTTGGAGGTATTTTGTTCATTAAAACGTGTCATTTTAAGAGTGATCCCCCCAAAAAAGCCAAGCCCCATTTTTTTCTGATGGTATCCCCCAAAGAAACCCTTTTCCCGGGAATACTTCCCTTTGTGGAGCTTATAATCTTGATATTTGGAAACGTCGTCTCTCTATATATACTCCTGTTATTAGCATCGCGGTGCGAATTAGTTTTCAGGTATTTAAATGTCCCTCGTCTCTCTAGTATATACTCCTGTTATTGGCATCGCGATGCTAATTAGTTTGGATGTATTTTGTTCATTAAAACGTGTCATTTTAAGAGTGATCCCCCCAAAAAAGCCAAGCCCCATTTTTTTCTGATGGTATCCCCCAAAGAAACCCTTTTCCCGGGAATACTTCCCTTTGTGGAGCTTATAATCTTGATATTTGGAAACGCCGTCTCTCTATATATACTCCTGTTATTGGCATCGCGATGCTAATTAGTTTGGATGTATTTTGTTCATTAAAACGTGTCATTTTAAGAGTGATCCCCCCCAAAAAGCCAAGCCCCATTTTTTCTGATGGTATCCCCCAAAGAAACCCTTTTCCCGGGAATACTTCCCTTTGTGGAGCTTATAATCTTGATATTTGGAAACGCCGTCTCTCTATATATACTCCTGTTATTAGCATCGCGGTGCGAATTAGTTTTCAGGTATTTAAATGTCCCTCGTCTCTCTATATATACTCCTGTTATTGGCATCGCGATGCTAATTAGTTTGGATGTATTTTGTTCATTAAAACGTGTAATTTTAGAGTGATCCCCCCAAAAAAGCCAAGCCCCATTTTTTTCTGATAGTATCCCCCAAAGAAACCCTTTTCCCGGGAATACTTCCCTTTGTGGAGCTTATAATCTTGATATTTGGAAACGCCGTCTCTCTATATATACTCCTGTTATTGGCATCGCGATGCTAATTAGTTTGGAGGTATTTTGTTCATTAAAACGTGTCATTTTAAGAGTGATCCCCCCAAAAAAGCCAAGCCCCATTTTTTTCTGATGGTATCCCCCAAAGAAACCCTTTTCCCGGGAATACTTCCCTTTGTGGAGCTTATAATCTTGATATTTGGAAACGCTGTCTCTCTATATATACTCCTGTTATTAGCATCGCGGTGCGAATTAGTTTTCAGGTATTTAAATGTCCCTCGTCTCTCTATATATACTCCTGTTATTGGCATCGCGATGCTAATTAGTTTGGAGGTATTTTGTTCATTAAAACATGTCATTTTAAGAGTGATGCCCCCAAAAAAGCCAAGCCCCATTTTTTCTGATGGTATCCCCCAAAGAAACCCTTTTCCCGGGAATACTTCCCTTTGTGGAGCTTATAATCTTGATATTTGGAAACGTCGTCTCTCTATATATACTCCTGTTATTAGCATCGCGGTGCGAATTAGTTTTCAGGTATTTAAATGTCCCTCGTCTCTCTATATATACTCCTGTTATTGGCATCGCGATGCTAATTAGTTTGGAGGTATTTTGTTCATTAAAACGTGTCATTTTAAGAGTGATCCCCCCCAAAAAGCCAAGCCCCATTTTTTCTGATGGTATCCCCCAAAGAAACCCTTTTCCCGGGAATACTTCCCTTTGTGGAGCTTATAATCTTGATATTTGGAAACGTCGTCTCTCTATATATACTCCTGTTATTAGCATCGCGGTGCGAATTAGTTTTCAGGTATTTAAATGTCCCTCGTCTCTCTATATATACTCCTGTCATTGGCATCGCGATGCTA